CCTGGGAAGGAAGGTTGGGCAATCTACTTCCCTAGTGATACCTCCTTGGAAACCCAAGGAGGGGTCATTATGAGTCAGGTCCGACTCAATGGCACATAACAACAACAACAAAGATTTACTGCCTCAGAAACCCAAAGAGGGTCGCTATGAGTCAGAATCGACTCTGTGGCAGTGAGTTTTTTTTTTTTTTTCTTTTAATTACTGCTGTTGCAGGATTGTATATATTGTAGTTTTTACCATACTGCTCTCTATTCTTACATACCTCTCAGTGTCTTCCTTTGCCTAGGTCATTGCTTGAATAATTTCTTTTAGAAAGATCAGCACAAGGCCTGTCCCTATGAGGTGGAAGTTAAAGATGTCCCAAATGTCCAACTTTTCCAAACTGCTATGCCACTCCATCATCTCTGACATCAACTTCTCCTCCCCTCACTCCCTCCTGCCTTAGGGTTCTTTATTTCATTGTAACGCCTCACAGAACTCACAAATTCCCAAAGAAACGGCTCAAATGGTGGCTGAGAGGCTGGCAGGCTGCCAAATCCCGGGTCTGTGGATGGGCCTGGGGGATTCTCCCAACTCACATGGTTGCAGGGTTTGGCAAGCCCAAATGTGCACTCAGACAAGGGCTGCTATCTCAGGGCCGGGGTGAAAGGATCACAAACCAAAGGCAGAGCTGAAGCAAGAGAGTGACCATTCCCAGAACATTCCTATACATACCCTCAAGGCAGCTAAGGACAGTGACCCGACTCATACCCTCCAGCAAGGCTCAAAATACTCTTCCGTGCAGGAGATCCTGGACAGAGTGGAAAAACAATGTGAAACAAACTCAAAATCATAAAAGAGACCAGGTTTACTGGTCTGAAAGAGCCTGGTGAGACACCCGAGACTATGGGTCCTAGTTACTCTTCAGGTCTGGAACTGAACTGACTCCTGTGGCTTCCAGCAAACAATAGACAGGCCTATGGGGTGAACATTTACATCAGGTAGATACACTCCTTGGAGCGATCAATCATGGGAGAACAGACGGGTAGTATTTGCACAGGAGCTCTGGTAGCATAGTGCCTAAGGCACTTGACTGCTAACAAGAAGGCTGGCGGTTCAAACCCACCAGCCACTCCTTGGAAGGAAGATGCGGCGGCGATCTACTTTCGTAGTGATACTGCCTGGGAAACCCAAGGAGGGGTTGCTATGAGTCAGGTCTGACTGAGGGCACATAACAACAACAATAGCTCAGAGGGCAGGAATGCATAGAAAAGAAGGATACAGCAAAGAGGTAACTATAGGGAGGAAGTTGGAAGAGAGCAGTTAAATTGTGGGGACTGTAGTCAATGTCATGAAAGAAAATGTGTATGAGCTCCTGTATGGAAAATGAATTTGCTCTGTAAACTTTCACCCAAATCACAGTAAAAATTTAAATAAATAAATAAAGATATATCCCACCCTAAACAAGCATAGAGACTCAGATTGACTAACCAGACTCACTTCCATCAAGTTGGATCTGACTCATAGTGACCCCTCCTTGGGTTTCAAAGGTGGTGTCACTACAGAAGTAGATTGCCCAATCTTCCTTTTGAGGAGTGTCTGGGGGGTTTGAACCGCCAGCCTTCTGGTTAGCAGTCAAATGCCTTAGGCACTATACCACCAGAGCTCCTGGATTTATAATACACCATGAAATGGAGGATGATAGCTAGCAGGGCCACATTAAGCAATTCACTGCACTGCAGGCCACCCCCTGGCTCTTCTAGCCATTAACCCTTCCACATTTGAAGGATTAATTTGCCCCTCCCAATCATTTTACCATCCCAAAGTCATTAACAATTAGTCCTTCATCAGGCAAAGAGTCCTAAGGGTGAGGTTACTCAGGTACCAGCCATTCAGGTCTGCTGCAGGTGTCTATCTGATCTGATCGGGTACTCCAAAAGTTAGTCTCATCATCACCCTTTCTGGCCTCTGATGAAATGTAATGGAGAGAATATTATTCCTTTGCTCTGAGTCTTTCTTTAGGTATCAGCGTAATGTTAGATTTCCCCCGCTGCATAACCCACTTATTCATTCCTTTACCTTCAGCTATTATTTCTCTTTCCTTCCATTTGTCATTTATTTTTACCCAAACTTTCCCACCTTGGGAAAGGACATCAGGTTCAGCTGCTGTGCCAGTCTAGATTGCTGGTAGCAAGACCAATCTAGCAAGTGCTTCTCCCTCAGTCCACTCCCATTCACGTTGGCTATGGCAAATAACAACAACAACAACAAATGGTTACATAAGTACAAAACCAGTGGGTTCTCTCTCCACTGGGCAAGACAGTAGTATTCACTGTCAGCCCCAATTTTGCCAGATGGTGGGAAGATACAATCCATCCCATAAGGCCCTTGGGAATTCTGGCATACAGGCTCAGGAATATAGTTACAGTCTTTTGCTTAGGAATCACCCTGCCTCTGGCACTCACAGCTGCATCCTGGGTTCTGGGACCACACCTTCTGGCAGGGAGAAAGCAATGTCAGGTGATGTGGGGAAGAATTGTACAGTGGCACCAGCATCCTCCCCCACCACCTCTTCCCCAGATCCCCCAGAAAAACAGGAATCTGTCCAATGGTGATCCTCCCTTTGCTCCTCTCATATTGAGTGTGAGCACACAGTCATGAAGGCATGTGAGCCTTTCAGGCTTTTATTTCTCCCTGTTTTAGATAACAAATGTTTCAGTTGCCCATTCCAATTCTCTATCAAACCATTACTTTGAAGATGGTATGCAACATGGTATGTCCACTTAATGTTTCTTGGCCCATTGCTGCACCCCGTGGACTGTAAAGTGTGTTCCTTGGTCTGAGGAAATACAGGTTGGTAGCCCAAATTGGTACAGTATCTTTTGTTCTAATCTTTTAATGCTGTTTTTGGCATTTGCATATCTCACAGGATTAGCAAAGCCCAGTCCAGAGTAAGTATCTATTCTTGTGATAACCTATTTATAGTCACCTGAAGCCACTGGTGTCATTGGTCCTATATAATTGACTTGACAGCCTTGTGCAGGGCCTTCTCCCTGGGGAATCTGCCCCATAGCCATCTGTAACCTCTGTCTTTCTTGCTGAAAGAGCAGTCCTTATTGGCATTTTGTGCTTCAGAGGGTACAAGAGAAATGTGTCTAGATTCGGCTCATCTCTGCATTGCTGCAGCACCCCTATGTCCACTCATTTCATGGACCCAATTGGCCACCTCAAGGGAGCATACTAACATGTCCACTTGCTGATTCCAATCGCCTTCTGATCCAAGAAGGGGATTCTTCTGATGAGCATCAACATGGCCTACTCTACTGCACCCTCTGAATTCCCAGAGGGCTTTCCATAGGTCCATACCCCACATGGGTAGTAGCCATTTGTCTATTTGGGGAAAAGGAATTCTGGATAGAGGAATAGCAAGTGCAAAGGTCCTGAGGCAGGAGTGTGATGGACATTTTCAATGAAGATTGAGGAGGTCAATTTGACTAGTGCAGAATCAGATCATGTAAGACCTTTAGGGAGCCTTTTGTCATTCTCAACGGAAAATATAGTCCAGAAAATCTCCAGCTCAAATTTTTTTTAATTTTTTTTGTCTGAGTGATAGAAGTCCTTGAGAAGTTTTGAGCAGGCAAGTGACATGATGATTCACGTTTTAAAGAATCACTTTGACTATTCTATTGACAAATTCTGATTTTCTGGTTGTATGTGGGTAGGATGACAGAGAAAGAAGAGTCAATGATGACTGCTAGGCTGGTAGGTTTTTGGCTTAAGGACCCAGAAGAAAGGAGTTGTTATTTACTGAGCTAGCAAAGACATTAGGGGAGTATGGGGGTAGGGAGAGGAGAGCATTAAAAGCTCAATTTTGAACATTTAAGTGTGCTATGCCTAGTTGATCCTGGTAGCACAGTGGTTAAATGTGTGGGTTCAAGCCCAGCAGCCTCAAAGAGGGAGAGAGGTGTGGCAGTTTGCTTCTGGAAGGATTTATGGCAGTTTGAAAGGATCCCTGGTGGCACAATGGTTAAGTGCTCAGCTGCTAACCAAAAGATTGCTAGTGAAAAAGACCTGGCAATCTGCTCCTGTAAAGATTACAACTGTGGGGCAGTTCCACTCTTGTCACATGGGGTTGCTATGAGTTGGAATCCACTCAAGGCGACCCAACAACTAACATATGCCTACTTGACATCCAAGCGGAAACAGCAAATAGGAAGTTGTATATATAGGATTCTGGAGTCCAGGAGAAAGTGGATTAGTGTTTTAACCTGGGAGTTAGTGTATGAAACCGCCAGGCTCTTTCGTATTCACGGTTGTTGTGGGATGGCCAGGGAGTCCTTCAGTAAACATGGATTTATCAAGCTGAGCGCTTGCTCGATGTGACATGTAAGTTTTAGGCTTGGGTAATGGAGGGGACTATAGTGCAATTTATTCACGGAGATAGAGAACACAGGAGAAGGCCCAGGTTCTGGTGGGAAGATGGTGGGATCCGGGTTGGACATGTTGTGTTTGCAGTGCCTAAAGAACTGTGCAAGAAAGAGTTGACTATATAGGGCTGGAGCTCAGTAGGGCTCCTCCATTCCCAACTGTCTCTTAGCTGGAGACAGGGCTTGTAGTTGGCAAATGACACCACGGGAATGGCTGAGATAGGACAAGGGGAGTGTCTTTCGGCTGCCAGGAACAGCGGTGACACATCTTTCCACATCTATTTTTCCTATTTCCTTTCAGCGCCTGCCGTCATTGCACAAAACGCCCACATCGACAGCTGCCAAAAACTACTTTTTATTCCCCACAGCTCCTCCCATCTTCCCAAGAGCTGCGGATAGAGGCAGAAACCCCAACTCATTCCCCGCCCAGGGAGGGCCTTCGCGGCGGTGACGCTACTAAAGAGGCGGGGCTTAAGAGGGCAGTCCCACTCTCCAGAAAAGCCGCGAGAGCTTGGGGAGGGAACTTAGGCTGCGCTGACCCCGCCCCAGTGCATAGGGCTCTCCTTTCTGAGCCGGTTCTTGACCGTAGGGACCTCAGGCCCGGTGCAGCAGCCGATTCTCGGCCAGCAGGCCCTGGGTGCGGTTGTAGACATCCTCCAGGGTGCCGGCGGCAAGGGCTAGCGCGGCTCGCGCCTCCATCTCCCTGGTTCCGGGACATGCCAGCTCTAGCAACCGGTCACGACCCGGGAAGGCGAGGAATGCGAGGCGGGCGGCCTGACGGATGAGCCAGGGGTGGTGGGGTGCCAGGGCCGTTCCGTAGGCGTCGCTGCACTGCACGCCGGCCTCCGCGCCTCCGAGAGTCCCGGTCGCTACCCTGTGGAGACAGAGCTGGGACCAGCGCAGCGCGCGGTGCAGCAAGAGCATCGTTCGTGAGCCTGAGTCCGGGAGGCCGGTCCCGGGTGCCTCGTCCAGCAGTCCTGTCCGCCGCTCCCATTCCATCATGGCCGCCAAAGACGTGTAGTGCGCGGCATGTAGTCCTCTCACTCTGGTCTCGAGGGCTTTAATCTTGGCAGAGGCCTCGCTTGTGGCGAAAGTAAAGATGGAGCCGAGGGGAGTTAGGAATCTGTGTGTTTGGCGGTGGTGAGGATGGAAAGATGTTTTGAGACAGGGTGATGGAGCCACAGGAAGCTGGGATTGGAGCGGGTCAAGGGGACCACTCACCTCACTAGCTGCCTCCATCCGGCCAGGTACTGCGACAGCTCCACATCCCCTTCCGGGTTCAGACTGGCGCGGAACGGCCTCATCATGCGGCCTAGCATCCCCTGGGGGCCCAGACACGGAGGCTCTTCCCGCTCCAGGCTCTCCCTGAGTCCTGATTCTTGCTGGAGCTGGGGGAGGGGTGATAGCTACGAGGTGAAGTGGATGGGGACAGAACCCTCAGCCTGCTGGGCCCTCTTAGCCGAGCAGCCCAGTTGGGCTGTGAAGCAACTGTCTGTAAGGTCTAGCAGGTGTCCTTCCCACCATACCCTTAGTTTCTAACAGGAGAGGGGGAGTGAGGGGGAAGACCCACGCTTCACCAGATCCGCAGTGTCTCCACTGCCGTCTGATCAGACTCCCATCTGGAGCTCCCAGTACCAGCCCTGCCCGGGACGTACCTGGAAGGGCAGCAGTCCTTTGGGCGTGCAGGATTGTACCCCCGATTCGCAGCCTGAGAACTCCCCTAGAGAAAGGCGAGGTGGAGCAGTGAGGATGGGAGGAGGGGGCTTGGGTCCTGAAGGCCTAAGGAGGGTTCCTCACTGACCAGGTGAAGGAAGGGGCCACTCACGCAGGCTCCGAGCACTGAGATAAAGCAGCAGCAGCGCCAAGATAGTAAGAGGGATTACGTGGACAAGCCGGAACCGCGGGGCCCTGGACCGTAGCGTGACCCCCATGGCTGCTGCTGGGACCACCGCTAGCCTCTCGCCAGTCCATGTCCCTCCAGGAGGGGAGAGAAGACCGGGGTGCTGTGAGGCGCAAAGGGTTAATAATTAACCCCAAGGCCCCCTCCCCTGTGCCCTTTGCCCCAGAGGGCAGCTGTCCATGGGTGAGGGACTGGATAAAGGGGATTTGGGGGATTGGGTGACAGTGACACGTCTCTGTGTTTCTCTTCCTTGTAGGACCAGTTTGCAGTAAGAGGCAGTCTGGGTCAGACTGGGAAGAGAGGCTGGGGTCAGAACCAGCACCCCCAGCAAGCAATGCCTGGGCCCTAAAATAGGTCAGCCTGAGTTCCCTGCACTGTAAATGCTGTAAATAGAGGATATTAATTTGTGCTTTGAAGGCCTCATGTGAAGATTAAATGATAATGTATGTGAAAACACTGTAAATGGAAAAGCTTACCTAATTACGCCATAAATCTTTCCTATTAAGTTTAAGCACCCAGACACCTGGGGCCCAGAAATACCCATTTGTAAATTTTCCATCCTATCCCTGGAGTGGGAGCTCTGGTAGCATAGTGCCTAAGGCACTTGACGGCTAACCAGAAGGCTGGCAGTTCAAACCCACCAGCCACTCCTCGGAAGGAAGATGGGGCAATCTACTTCCATAGTGATACTGCCTGGGAAACCCAAGGAGGGGTCACTATGAGTCAGGACCGACTCAACGGCAATGAGTTTGGTTTGATTTTTTTGTGTCCCTGGAGTACCTTGTCTTGATGTGAATATATGACCTCTCAGATATTTACTTTAGGTTTCATCCTTTTACACTTGTGCAGTTTTTTTCTTTTTAAACTCCAGGTTTGTTCACTGAACCAACCTTTATTATATTAACTCGTCTAATCTCTCTCCCTCACTGGAATGTAAGCCCTGATGAAGACAGGGGCCTTCTTTTTCTTGGTCACTACTCTATTTCTAGCTCCTAGAATATTTAATTACATTATTACTAAATAAATATTTACTGAGTAAATGATTGACCTTGTATGAGGGGTAAATACCCGACAAATTTGAGGCAGGTTTTTTTTTTTTTTTCCAAGGCAAATTAGGAGTCCACCTGCTGGTCAAAGAGGGAAAGGCATTCTGGGAGAGAGTGTTGGGGGGAGGCAGAACTTGGCCCATGTCCACTTTTTAGGATTATTCCTGTCTCTGTGTGTATATATATTTTCTGTTGGGAGGAGGGGGTGTCCCGGTTTCTCAAGGAGTCAGGATTCCAATATCTAAGACCCTTCCAGTTGAGCAACTGGATTCTCACCCTCTCCCTCCGATACTCCCTGCTTCCAAGAGATCCTTTAGTTTCCCCCTCACCCACCCTGCCCCTGGCCGTTCACTCTCTCTAGTCTTGGTCTCCAAACTTCCTAGCATTGGAATGTTGCCCGGTTTGCTGGTTGTGACCTGAGGCAAGTTGCTTGTCATTTCTGAGCGCCAACTGGCACATCTGCAAAATAAGAAGAGTAATTCCTCCTAAAATTGTGAGGATTAAATAAAATAAGGCTGCAAAACCCCAAGCACAATTCATAGCCTATACCAAACAAACCGAAAAACAAACGGGAGCTCTGGTGGCGATTTCGACCCATCGGTTTGCACCGCTCCTCCTCCTCTGGCGCTGGGAGCCTGGGCCTCCAGGAGCAGAGAATCGAGTCTTTGGGGTTTCAGGAACGGATTAGTTTTGGGTGTCACTTAATCCAGGTGGCCCTTCCGCAATCGGAGCCCTTGTGGGGGCAGGGGTGATATAAATCCACGTCAGGGGCTGGGTTTACAGAAGCTGCGGGATGGAGCGGGACGCGGGGGTCAAGCTGCTGTTGCTTCTGCTGTGGGCGACGCACTGCGAACGGGCAGGAGCGGGTGGGCCGAGCGGCTACACGTCGGTCATCGAGGTGACCAACGGGGGCCCCTGGGGCGACTGGGCCTGGCCCGAGATGTGTCCGGACGGATTCTTCGCCAGCGGATTTTCGCTCAAGGTGGGGGAAACTCGGGCCTGGGTCCTGGAGGGGCGGAGATTTGCGGGACTTCCGAACCCGGGATGGCAGCTTTTTTGACTCGTCCTCGCCCCTCTTCTCCCAGGTGGAGCCCCCCCAAGGCATTCCTGGGGACGACACGGCTCTGAATGGAATCCGACTGCACTGCGCGCGGGGGAACGCGGAGCGCAACACGCACGTGGTGGAGTCCCAGTCTGGAAGGTGTGTGGGGGGGGCGCAGAAGCCAAGTATCCCCTACAGTAGGGGTACACCCTTATCTCCTGTGATACCCCCTTTCCCGGCGGGCAGTCACGGTCTTGTTGTTGTTATGTGCCGTCTCGTCCCGACTCATAGCGACCCCTCCTTGGGTTTCCGAGGAGGTGTCACTACGGAAGTAGATTGCCCAGCTTTCTTTCCGAGGAGGGGCTGGTGGGTTTGAACCGCCAGCCTTCTGGTTAGCAGCCAAGTGCCTTAGGCACTCCGCCACCAGAGCTCCCGAGTTTAGGTCTAAGGGGAATGATGGAAGACCTCCCTCCGCACTTGGGTGGAGGTCAGGTGGTTGGACCCAACCTGCTGAGGACGTGGCTTTCCTGGCGGGGAAGTGCCGAGGGCAGGGCAGTCTGTGGATAGCGGGCATCCAGAGCCACAGCACTGCACTTCCCTCGCAGGTGGGGCGCGTGGAGTGAGCCGCTGTGGTGCCCTGGCGGCGGCTTCCTCGTGGCCTTCTCGCTTCGCGTGGAGGCGCCCGTGACCCCCGGGGACAACACAGCGGTGAACAACTTGAGCTTCCGCTGCTCGGACAGCACGGAGTTGGAGGGGCCTGGCTTGGCCTGGGGCGAGTTTGGAGATTGGAGCGGCCCCTGCCCCAAAGGCGTGTGCGGGTTGCAGACGAAGATCGAAGGGCCTAGAGGCCTCCGCGATGACACTGCGCTTAACGACGTGCGCTTTTTCTGCTGCCACAGCTGACACTATGACCGCTCTCTTCCGGGCCAAGGTTTATCAAGCTTAGGTTATTAAAGCGTCTCGGGCTTGCCTTTGGTCTTGCTTGATTTAGGGGCGGGAAACAGCGGCTCCTTGTCCCCCTACTGTTCGGGTTTTGGTCTCAGAGGTCCATGGCAGACTGCTGAAAGTTACGAATCGGTACCATCCAGGATAAGACACTTAAACACACCATTTTGCATACAAATTAAGGAGTTCTCTGACTTTTCTTGGGCCTTCTGCAGATGCCCTTGCCATCCCCAAGAGCCCAAGTTGTCTCCTTTCTGAAGCACCAGCGACCTCAAATTAGGAGACTTCTACCAAATTAAAAGGCCAAAGCTATAATAGTCTTAAGGCTTCACTTTTGAGAGCTTAAGTTAAAATGTGTTGCCCCATCATTTTAAATTTTTTTCCTACAAAGTTCAATTCTCTAAACACCGATTCTCCCTTTCAGTTCTGGGCCCTTTTTGTTCTTTCCACCTGGAATCCCCCAGGTACTCAGATTTCAGCTCGAATTTCCCTGTTTCAGCAAGACTTTCCTTATGTTATTAAAAATAGCCCCCTATATCTATTACCAATGCATTTTTAAAAATAGCTTATCACCAATTGAAATAATCCATTACCTCTTTCAGAAATTGCCCCTCTCCCATGCCTGGAAAGTTAAATTCTTTGAGAGGATAGGACTTGTTTGTCTTGTTTGCAGTGTATTTCCAGCTCACACTAATGACTCAAAAGCTATTTGTTATTTAGGAAAATCAAACAAAACAAAACCAAACTCACTGCCGTAGAGTTGATTCTGACTCACACCGACCCCCACTGCGTTTTCAAGGCTGTAAATCTTTACAGAATTAGATTGCCCCGTCTTCCTTCCCGGAGGAGCCAGTGGGTTTGAACCACTGACCTTCTGGTTGGCAGCAAAATGCCTTATCCAGTACACCACTAGGGCGCCTTAGGAAAAAAAAAAAGTGAGTCGCACAATAGCTCTAAACATGAGAGTCCAAAGCCTGGGCATATCCGGAGGCCCTGTGCATAAGGTACGTTCTGAGACAAGGAAGGAGAGCTAGTAACGGTTTACTCTAGCGAGCCAGGACAGGGGCGGGCCAGGTGAGTATCCAGGAGCTAGCAAGTGTAATGGGGTGGTGGATCAGTGGAGCTTCAGCAAGGGGTGCCCCGTGGAAAAGAGACAATGAGGACACAATGAATAGCAAGCAAGTTCCTCTACCACCCTCCCCCACACTGCCCCCTGTTCTTCCTGCAATTGCCACAGAAGACACCAATAGCTACGTTCACCAGCTGCACCCCGTACAGCACCATCTCTAAGCCTGAGGCAGCCACCAGCAGGGAGAAGAGCATCACGTTGCATTGAGACTGATTCTTGCACAGACTCCAATAGAGTACGGTTGAGCAAGTAATCTCCAGTGGGCCGGACAAGGTCAAGGGAGGGGAGGTGGTCACGCAGCATGACGTCTCCCCTCCCACACCCCACGCTTCTCAGGCACGCATATTTGTGATGCACTTGACTGGTCCATGTCGAGGAAACCTTGTCTAGGCCAAGTCCCACCCAGGTTTCTGGGTACATGTGGAAAGGGCAACTGGGGAGGGGCAGAGGATGGGGGGCACAAAAACAGGCTAAGCCTTGCCTGGAGTTTTGAAGAGGTTATGTTCACTCGCTGTCACTGAGGCACTGGGTCCAGTTCTGAGACCAGCTCCTCATACCACAAGGCGGGAAGTAGATGACACCAAGCACCTGGAACACCAAAGAGAAAACCTAACGCGACATCTGGATGCAGACTAGAAGGTGGCGTAAATTGTGTCGCCTCCTTTCCGCTCGTGGGCTGATTAAGCCTAGCCCCACCCCACTCATGACTGCAATTTCCGAGTCACATTAAAAGGAATTTCTTGCCAAATCCCAGGGCTTGGCATTAGGCTAACCCTAAGAGCTAGTGGCCGTGGAGGTTCATGGGGGTTGTAGTCCCTTCCAGTCAGGCCCACCGAGGCCTAAGATTTGCACCTGTGAGGGGACGCTGCGGTGGAGCCTGGGCCTCTGCAGAGGAACTTGTGTCAGCTAGGACTCTGTCGAGGGGGTTGTGCCTTTAGGTGTGGCTCTGAAAGGCCAGTTCAAAGACAGTCCTAAATCCAACCTCAATCTGGATCTTACTCTGCAGGGGTTTCCACAGCAGCCTGTAGGCACCATAGCAGCTCTTGTTCCCTGCCCCCAAAACAAACCAACCAACCAAAAAAACTAAACTCACTGTTGTGGAGTCGGTGCCAGCTCATAGTGACCCCTCCTTGGGTTTCTGAGGTGGTACCTCTATGGAAGTGGATTGCCCAGTCTTCCTTCCCAGAAGTGGTTGGTTCCCTGGCCAAATGGCTGTAATTTCTGGACATAGAACTTTCGAGAGGAGAGTCAGTGTGATAGCTTTTCCCCCAAGGTCCTCAAGATCTCATTTGCATCAGTACCTCCGTCCTCTGGGAAAGTGCTTGTGATTCCCTCAGCTGTGCTGTTGCCGTTCGTTACTGTCCCGTTGGCTCCAACTCACGGCCACCTTACATGTAACAGAATGAAACGCTGCCTTGTCCTGTGCCACCTTCATGGCCTGGCATGTTTGAGCCTGTTGTAGCCACAGCATCAATCCATCTTTGGAGGGGCCTCCCTCATTTTTGCTGACCCTCTAAATATGATATCCTTTTTTAGTGATTGGTTTTGGGACTATACTGCCTACCTACCTGATGCCATCCGATCAATTCCAACTCATAGTGACCCTGTAGGACAGGGTAGAACTCCCCCATGGGGTCCCAAGGCTGTAATCTTCACAGAAGCAAATTGCCACACCTTTCTCCCTCGGAGCATCGGGTAGGTTTGAACCACCAACTTCTGGTTAGCAGCTGAGTGCTTAACCACTGCTCCACCAGGGCTCCTTCTTTGGACTATGTTGTGTGTGTATTAGTTGCTGTTGAGTCGATTCCGGCCTATAGTGACCCCATGTACAATAGAACGAAACACTGCCTAGTCCCATGCCATCCTCACAGTCTCTGCTAAGCTTGAGCCCATCATTGCGGTCACTGTGTCAGTCCACCTACTTGAGGTTTTTTCCTTTTTTTTGTTGACCCTCTACTTTACCAAGTATGATACCCTTCTCCAAGGACTGGTCCCTTCTGACAACATGACCAAACTACTTGAGTCTGGCCACTCTTGCTTCTAAGGAGCGTTGTGGCTATGCGTCTTCCAAGACAGATTTGTTTGTTCTTCTGGCAGTCCATGGTATTTTCAATATTCTTCACCAACACCACAGTTCAAATGCATCAGTTCTTCTTAGGGCTTCCTTATTCATTGTCCAGCTGTCACACGCATACGAGGCTATGGAAAATACCATGGCTTGGGTCAGGCATATCTTAGTCTTCAAAGGGACGTCTTTGTATTTTAACTCTTTGAAGAGGTCGTTTGGAGTAGGTTTGCCCAGTGCAATGCATCCTCTGATTTCTTGGCTGTTGCATCCATGGGTGTTGATTGTGGATCCAAGTAAAATGAAATCCCTGACAACTTCAATCATTTCTTCATTTATTGTGATGTTGCTTATTGGTCCAGTTGTGAGGATTTTTTGGACTATGTTGTTGTTGTTATGTGCCGTCGAGTCGGACCCGGCTCATAGCGACCCCTCCTTGGGTTTCCCAGGTAGTATCACTATGGAAGTAGGATTGCCAACCTTCCTTCCGAGGAGTCGCTGGTGGGTTTGAACCGCCAGCCTTCTGGTTAGCAGTCAAGTACCTTAGGCACTATGCTACCAGAGCTCCTTTTTGGACTGTAAGAAGACTTTATTTCTACTTCTCCTGGAGTGCTGTTGGGCTCTAATTGATAGTTATTTATGTCTCTACCTTATCTCTGTCAGATTGTAGCCTCTTGGAGGATAGGGTCCAATATCATTATCCCTATAAACTTTGGCACCTGGCAGATGCTCAGCTGAATGGGATTCAGGAGGTCTGTGTTCTAATGCCAACCCTGAACTCACATCACACTGTTGATTCATCTCTCTAGCTCTCAATTGTTCCCTATGTAAATGGTCTATAAGTCCCATCTCACAGGGCTGTTGTCAGGATTTAGTGAGATAACAGTTTGATGTCAAGACCGGCTCAGAGTAAATGCTCAATAATAATAAATTCTCTCTTGTCTCCTCAGCAGCAGGAAGCAAGGAAGGAGTAGAGGAGTTGGAGTGTCTGGTTAGGTGGGACGATGGAATAGTGTGGAAGAGTAGGTTAGTGGAGGCTCTGACGTGGAGTGTAGGATTCCCCAAGATTCAGCCCCTGTTCCTTTGGTCTTTCTCCCTGCGGCCTCCCTCACAAAGCCCATCCCCTCGCATTGGCTCTGCCAACAGATGCCTCCTAACAGGAAACCTCCTCATCCAAATCTAATTGCCTGAATGTTGGGAATCACTTGAATGTCTTGGTTTTACCTCAAATCCAGTCAGGTTCATACTGACCTCATTGTATTCTCCAAATTCAGTTCCCTTTGATTTTTTTTGTTTTCATCATTGAAATATCATCCTCCAGGGCACCCAGGCTGGGAAACTTTCGTCTCCCTACACCCAATCCGAATTCAGATTTTCTCAGCTGTTTTTCCCCCCTCCATTGTTCATCGTTAGGTTTTATTTCAGATTTACATCCCAAACTATGTAATTTGTACTACTTAAAGTACTGCTATTGCAGGACTGCATAATGCTATAAAGAAATAAAACTGGTCAGTGTATAATTTCCTTCTGTTGTTTAATATCTTGTCTTAGGAACAAGGTCTATTTACTTCTAGACTTAACCATCTTTACATTCTAATGTAACTTTAAGATTTTTTTTTTTTTTTTCATATAATCTTTGTTGTTGATGTTGTACTTTGGGTACAAATTTACACAGCAGATTTGTTTTACATTCAACAGTTCATGCACATTTGACTTCAGGGTCCCATTACCATCCCTGACCATAAACTCTCCTCCCCTCTCCTCCCTGGTACTGCCCCTCCCTGTGCCCTTCTCATCTGTGTGCTCCTGTCTGCCCAGCTTTCCCTCCATGTGAAAGCTGCCCTCTGATGTCTCATGGCTGCTTGATCCAAGGGGTGCATCTCCCTAGGGGAGGTGGGTGCATCTCTCTGAGGTAGGTGTTCTACATGTAGGTCTTTCTGCTCTTGGGATGAGAGCCAATCCATGGAAGTGGGTCCATTTCAGGCCCAAAGGATAACCTGGGGCCATGGTCTTGGGGGTTCCACCAGTCTCTATCAGACCAGTAATTCTGGTCTTTTTTTTTTTTTTTCTTTTAAGTACGTTTTATTGAAATATAATTTATGTTCAGTGAAATACACAAAACTAAAGTGACACAGGTCAATGCTTTTTTTTTTTTTTTTTGCTGCAATGTTTCCTCCCCTCCCCTCCTACCCCACCCCTGGTAACCAACAAAGAAAGTTTCCTTCCATATATAAAACCTTCCTTGACTTTTTACAATAATGAACTAATACTATATTTGTCCTTTTGTGATTGACTTATTTCGCTCAGCATAATATCTTCCAAGTTCATCCATGTTCATCATGTGTTTTGCAGATTCTACGTTATTCTTTAGTGCTGCATAGTATTCCATTGTATGTATGTACCATAGTTTTGTTACCCATTCTTCTGTTGATGGGCACCTAGGCTGTTTCCATCATTTTGCTATTGTAAATAATGCTGTGATGAACATGGGTGTGCATATATCCATTCTTGTCCTGGCTCTTACTTCTTTAGGATATATGCCTAGTAATGGGATTTCTGGGTCAAATGGTATTTCTAATTCCAGATTTTTAAGGAATCGCCATACTGTTTTTACAGTGGTTGTATTATTTGATAGCCCCACCAGCAGGGTATGAGAGTCCCAATTTCTCCACATCCTCGCCAGCATTTATTTTCTGTCTTGTTGAACTTTGTCATTGGTGCTGGGGTGAGATGGTATCTCATTGTCATTTTGATTTGCCTCTCTCTGATGGCTAATGATCATGAGCATTTCTTCATGTATTTGCTGGCCACCTGAATATTGTCTTTGGTGAAGTGTCTATTCATGTCTTCTGCCCATTTTTTAATTGGATCATTAATATTTTTGTTGTTGAGGTGTTGGAGTTTTCTATACATTTTAGAGATAAATCGCTTGTCAGATAAGTCATTGCTGAAAACTTTTCCCCAATCTGTAGATTCTCTTTTTACTCTTTTGGAGAAGTCTTTTGAAACACATAAAAATTAAATTTTCAGAAGGTCCCGTTAATCTAGTTTATCTTCAGCTGTTTGTGCATTTTGTGTTATGCTTGACAGCCTATTTATGCCATAAATTCGGGCCCCTATCTTTGCCCCTGGAAGCTCTGGTGGCATAGTGCCTAAGGCATTTGACTGCTAACCAGAGGCCGGTGTCTC